AGATAAATTTTTAAATTTTGTATTGAAATTTTAATTTCTAAATATAAATTGAGATTCTAATTTTATTTTAAAAATTAGAAGAGATATATACTAATCTTATATAATAAATATTAAATAAATATATATAGTATTATAAACAAATTTTTAATTAAAAAAAAAATCAAGATTCATACGCACTAATTTTATAGAATAAATATTAAATAAATATATATAGTATTATAAACAAATTTTTAAATAAAAACAAATTAAATAATGATACACTAAATTGTAATATCATATAATATTGATACATTAAATAACAATACATTAAATAACAATACAATATTATGTGCATATTATGTGAAGTACCAGGCCATTCGACAAATTGCAAATAAAACGGTGAAGTACTCTGGTGGAAATCCCATTGCACTACAACAGAATATTTAGAATTTTGTCACCAGTTTTATGCTTTAATTAAGAAAAACTAACTATATTGGATGCATTCATCCAGCTTTACACAGTATAAACATTGGAAAGTTAATGATATCATTACCGATTGATTAATCCTGAATAGAAATCAACATTTGGATAGAGCTTCCTCTTAATTAAAGTACTCATCAGATAATGCAGCCTTCTCCAAAGCAACAGCAACCTGTAAATCACACAACAAAAATAAGAAAAGATCATTATAGAATTCAATGAATTCAATTAACAAAAACCTAATGAGGTTAGTCATGCATTTTTTTACCCCTTTCTTCTTATAGTCAAGTTTCATTGTTGTTTGCTATCTTGGTTATAAACTAATAAAAAATAGATGCAGGAATTCCATAAAACTCAAAATATAAATAACCATGTTTAGTCTTAATAAAAATAATTTTACACATAAAAATATAATTAGCAGATCAGACTATACAAACAAAGACTGTTAAAAAAAAAGAAACGCATCATTATTAAATTTGAAAGAACCAGAAAAACTCTTACCTAATTACTTTTTTCTCCATATATCATGCATTTACATATTCCCTATCCTTAAAACATGGAAAATGCTTTGAAAAAATATTTTGAATTGTCAATACTTTCCAGTCGCCAATGACCATGATTCAAGCTAAATTCAACTTTCTATTTCATGCATTAATGGTAAGCATCATAAAGCTGATAACAGAAACTATCATCTTGAATGGACATGCAGCAGACAGCAGTGGAAATACATTCTTGTCAGAAAGAAAATTTAGAGTTGATAAATACCTCAATAAGGGGATCCCGACCAACAATGGAAAATACTTCCTCCGCTAATTTCTTTATCACTTTTGCTGTCGGATCATAGTTTTTGTGTACACGGTGTCCGAAACTGACATTTTTTGCTTCCTAAAGAAATAAAGCAGTAGAAGAACATGAATTAGAGGTTTATATTGCATATGGAAGATAGTTCCTCTGAAATAGACAAAGCATGAAAGGGTTTACATTCAATCACCTGTTCTTTACACCCTCAATAAACTCAGGAACGTTTTCTACTGTTCCAATCTCACTTAGCATCTTAAGAACAGCCTATATATTTAAATATAAAGGAAACTAGGTTAGGAACCAGTGAAATTCATATGACAATTAAAAATGATAGAATAAAGAAAAAAAAATTAATCACTAACAGATCAAAGTGCAAAGTTTTGCCAGAGACATTTCGAACGAATAATAATTTCCAGGTCACCACTTATTAGTATGGACAAAATTAAAAACCAGAACAACGTGATTGCCAATACCTCATTTGCTCCACCATGAAGAGGACCATAGAGTGCTCCAACTGCTCCAGCAAGAGCTGTGTATACATCAACTCCACTGCAAATATTGAGTGCAATCTTAACAACAGAATTTTGGATTGCTCTGTTTCAGTTCAAAACTAATAGGCCTACCTTGACACAAGATGCCTAGCAGCAGCTGTTGGACAGTTCATTTCATGTTCTGCATGTAATATGAAAAGAATGTCCAGCACTCTAGCCAATCAAGGATTGGGTTTGAAGATCTATTGCCCCTGCAAAAATGATGGTGTAAATTTTGGTTAGGCTAGAAGAGGCCTGTAATCTCACTATTCCAAAATGATAATATTATAAAGGATAATGATAGATTTACCCTCTCTTTTTACGCACTCCGTTACACCTTTTAATTTCCGTTATTGTCCGTTAATTACACTTAACTCTCCATTACCATCTTTCCTTTCTCTTCCTCGCCGTTCACCATCCTCACTAACCAGACCAAAACCTGCAATTTTGTGCAAGAGCAATAGCAGAGACAAAGCAATCATCAGCCCTCTACCACGTTCCCACCTTCTTCCTTT